CAGCATACAATAATAAATTCTATATAAAAAGAATTAAAAAAAAAAAAAACATGATGGTGTAGTATGTTAAAACATTGAGGTAATATGGTTAAATGATAAACACAATTTTCAGAGCTTGTTTCGAGTCAGTTCTGAACTATACAGGTATTCTATCAACTTAAACATGTTACAGGATGGTTTAATTCAATAGTAGGTACATGATCATAGATAGCCAGGAAACAAAGTTTAAAAAGCTTTACAAAAATAAAAAAAAACAGCAAAAAGCTCAGTGCAGAACAATGCATTTCAATCACTCTGTGGTCTTCCTCAGGTGCATATGTATATACATAAATTGCCATTTTATTGTCAACACTATAGGACACTTGTATTGCATTTAAAGTCATGATCATCATACGGCATGATCTGAGTTTTTGCAATTCTAGAATTGGGTTATTTGAACAATTTATTTTTGTAATAAATGAAGGGCATTCCTGCGGCCTCTTAACAATCTGCTTGTTTTTCCACAGTTTATCACGGAAGGCTATGCCTCTCACCTTGCTCAACTGGAATATAACCACCGCTCTCGGCCTGCGAAGAACGCGAGCAGGATGGCCCTACGAAAGGGGAGTTTTTGTCTTCCCGGTCAGTCAGATTTTCTTAGGAAGAGAAACCACTTACTTCGAACCATTTCCACGCAGCCCACGGGTAGCAACCATAAACCAGAGAGAACACAAAGTCAGTCAGAAAGTGACCGTGATCGGGAAAAAGAGCGTAGCCAAAGAAGCATGAGCATTGCAGCAGGGTGCTGGGGGAGGAGCGCAGCCACTGCTAAGTTGGAATCTGGCGTTTTAAGTCAGAAGTAAATTTCCCTCGTCCTGGACATTCTCTTATGCTTGAATTTGCCACTAAACGGGAGAAAACTAAAGGGATTGAGGCATATCTTTGCAGGAAAGACGGAGTTAACCAAATGGTGCTACTATATAACAACATTTAGCAAAGCTGGTGACAGATGAGTGGAACTGCAGGCCTTAAATTGGGTATTGATGCCCATGGGATTAATTGTGACAGGACCACACTGTGGTCAAACAAAAATTCTATAAAGCTCAACTTATATCTCCCCTCCTCCCCATAATCCAGGTTTCAGAGACAAATCATTGTATATATGTGCCTCCTTTACCTTCTTAGCCATCTCTGAAATATTCCTGAATAATGCACAAACATGTTTCCGGATCAAAAAAAAAGGGAAAATATCAAACACTTTGGATGTTCCCTGGTTGGCCGATATCACTGAATACAACTACAAGAACAGGCCATTTGTGTAGAATGATGGGATAACCACTAGGATTAATAAGCTTCAGCAATGCCCAAAACACATTCTTCTTAAAACAAGGCACAATCAATCAGAACCCTTTGGGTGTTTTTTTTGTTTTTTGTTAAAACAGTTTCACATAGAGACTAAATTGTACATCTCTTAAAACAATCGGCCTTGCTAGTTGTGATCTATTGCTGTTGCATATTGATCTGGATAATTACATTATTTCCTAAAGGTAGACACAGTAGATGCAGATCTGGAAGCATATTGTACGTATATATAGAAATATGTTTTGTTGTTTTTGTTTTTTTTTGTAATTATTATTTTTTTTTTTTTGTTATGAGATCAGAACTCCCGTCCATTAGTCCCAAAGAAAAAATATTACTTTTACCTTCCCTTTCCCTTTCCTCCCCTCACTTCCCCCCTCTTGTTTCTATGGTCTTTTGGCTTCCTGATGCGTCCAGCTAGCTACTTTATGTGTAGTTGCTCAACTTTAAAACCTCATTGTTTTTGTTTGTTTTCTTTGCACTAATAATTTTTAGATAGGAGATCTGTTACCATCTCATGTTGCTACACATCCTTGTCTGTAGTGCATGGTAATTAAATATTGCTAAACCAGGGTATAGATATTTTATGTGCAACTGTTTCTTCGCAGTTAGAAATTAAGCAGGTGTGCCAAACTGTAGTGTAAAAGAAGCTAAACAGTAAAAGGCCATATCCTAATTTTGTCTGCTCCAGGAAATGGTGGTTGAAGACAACTAAATTTATATAGGCATTGCCTAACAGGAAAACTGTGCTTTTTTCACTTCTAGTCACTTGTAAAAATAGCTATAAAACATCTCATAACCTGCTCTACTAGTTATTTAAAGGGTGAACCATTCTGCAGCATACACTGTATTAGATCCAGCACTGTGAACACTTTCTGTTCTTTGTCTAGAAAATTGGACTGTGAGCCAAACGAAATTTTATTTAATATACTCTTATCACGTTTTTTTATGTATAAAGTTAGAACTATTTTTAAGCAACCCTCTGCTGCCAAAGTGGCAGGGAATTGGCTAAATACCAGATATAGACAACCTCTTCTTATACCAAATCATTAACATTTCAACCTTTGGCAAACCTTTGTATGCTGCAGATGATAGCATGGCTTGCCCTTGTAAGATCACCTTTGTCCGAGACAGAGACTTGCTGCTGCCTAACAGTGGTATTACACGTACATTGTGTTACTATTGAACATGTGATAATGCAGTTTTGATCAATACCACTAAATCGTCTACTGAAGCATGAGATTTTACGTTTGTTTGATTTTAGGTTGGGTTTTTTTTTTATTGTTTTTAACAAACTTTAAACTTTCCTTTTTTTTTTATTACCAAAATAGTCTGTAAAAACAGTATGTTTATGGATAATATATAATCTTGATCTATATAGTCGCCTAAAAGATAACTACCACAACACGTTATTTGAGAGGTCATATACCACAGCTAGCACACACTAAATAAATAGTGGCTAAATGAAAGGGTTCTGGCCCACAACTGAAGAGCAAGTTCCATAGGATGTTTAGGTTTATATTGAGAAGCAGACAGTGTCTCTGCACTAGATAATGTGCGATTTGCTTGATGTTGTGTGTGTGTGTTCTATATTACTTAACTTGGGGTTAACGGTTAAGCAGTTGGCAGTATAAGAGTACACTGGACAAACTAAGATCTCGGCAGCAGCATCATGGCCATGTAACTGCCTATTACAATAAAAATACAACTGCTGTAAAACTGAAACTCCAAAATATTAACAAAAAACATGATGGCGGATGTGAAGAATTGGATATGGCCTTTACAAGAGAGATTGCTGAGCTGCAATGCACAAAGGAGGAAATGTATGTAAATTTATTGTAATGTGCAAGGGATGCTAACCTATTGTGTGTAGATATTGTAAAACATAAGAATGTAAATGTTCCGAAAAAGTGGTTATATAAAAAGTGAAAGTTATTTATTTATGTAGAAAATGTCTGGGGTGGGGGGAGGGAAGAGACCCTCTGGGTTTTTAATGAATATTTAAAAGGAAAAAAAAAAGTGACACATTAGTTTGTTTTTGTTTTGTTTCATGCATTATGTACAAAGAAACGAATTTAAAGGACCAAGTATAATGTAATGTTACTTGCAGAAGTGCAATATTATATATTCACCTCTCTAGCTCCATATTTTCAGAGTAGAATTGACAATCATATTTCTTCATCCATTAACTCTTTGAAAAGCTTCTTCAAAATTTCCAGCCTTTCCTGCCCAGGGAGTATTGTGTTTTTTGCCACGGGCAAAGATTTTTGTAAAATCATAGATAATTGTACTGAACGGACAGATTTCTGGAAAGACACACTTTCGGAAGACACTTCTTTTACAAAGTCTAAAGCATTCTCCCGAAATCTTGTCTTTCCAACATTTTGTTAGTACAGTAAAGAAGAAGAAGAAGAAAAAAAAAAGTATTGTTATATGATACTATGAATATCTATTATTTTACATCTGCGTCCTTGACACAAGACAGACAATATTTCAACTTCAGTACTATGGAAGGTACCACGTGAAAAAAAAATACAAACGTAATATTTTATCGAGACTGCAATAATATCAGATTATGCAGAAATGTGGAAAGTGAGATTTTGTTGCTAGCTTCTATAGTTGATTTTTTCAGATTAGAAGATCCTCATTATCTGTTGAATTGTGAGTATCATGTAAGTTTGTATCCATTTTCCAATAGCAATAGGTTAAATCAGCTTCTACTGGGGGGAGAGGTGCAGCTCACGCTGACAGAGCAGTGTGTATATTTAGATAAAACATAACTATGATTTATTGGTTTATTTATGATTTATTGGTTTAAAACAGCTATTTATTTTTGTCAACGTTTCATAAAAGCATCATCCTCCAGTGTCCATTTTTTTCCCTTCTAGAAGTTGTCTATTTTAATTCCAAGCTCCTTAGTCTCAAATAACCAAAATATTAAAATACGTTTACATAGGGAAAAAAATACAATAAATGAAAACCAGTTAACTCACTGGACGTTACAAATTTCACCCTTTCACTGCCGAGGGGCCTGCCAGCATGGTTAATAGGCCCCGCTAACTATGAAAGCGCAAAATGCAGTCCACGTCCCCCTTCCGTATAGGAACCTGCACTTTCAGAAGCCCAGACAGAGAGGTTTTTCACCTTTTGCTGCATTTCCTATAAGTTCCAGTAGCCTTACATTTCTCTCACCCTGCTCTGTATTTTCACCGTGAGTAGAATTATCTTTGACTGTCAGTTTTATATATTTAACTAGATTTGATTTGTAAAGAGATGTTTGTTAGGGATAACTCAGAAGACATACAAATGTGACAGAGACAGGCACAAGACCACAGCCTCTTCCAAATGTCTGTTGCTTCCTGGTTTTCATTTCTTGTATTCCTTCGGGGTAAGTGTGTATAAATGCTCTCTTGCTTGTATGTGACAAACCATACTGACCACTTGCTATTAGTGTGTTGTTTTACACCTCTGTGTGCTTCCTGTGCAGTACCCATTCTACGTTACACAGATTAAACTTTCGGGAAGGCTATTGACTTTTGTGTGTCTTGATAATTTTATGACTACTAAAAAAAAACATTATTTGAATATACATTATGAGAATTATGTTACAATGTTGAAGATGTATTATTTTATAATTAATATATATATATAAAATTAGATTTCTGATCATTCCCAAATGAGCCATAGGCACGGCCCTCATTTGACACTAACTTTACAAAGCATGTGATAAAGCTACACATGGTAGGCACCAGACTTATACAACATTTTTTTCGGTCAGTTTGTCCAAATCCAAATCCTTGGTTTATCCGGTGGAGTCTTAATCATTGAGAAAAAGTCCACAGGTAAATCTTTGAAGAATCAATTCATTTGTGCTTGGATTAAAAGGATTTTCATTTGGACGAACACGTTTTTGCAGAAGTCTACCAGGTGCTGCTGTTCCTGTGGGATTTACAATAATGCAAGTGTAGGTTAAAATGTTAGATTTGTCAGGACAAAACCAAATAACATGCATGCTGGAAAATGAGCCATGTGGCCTGTGTCTGATTTCAGATACTGCCTGTAAACTGATGATTATTTATTTTAATTGGATGAGTACTAACTCTTGGCTACTCAAGACATAATAAAACATAGTAGCACATTTTATGACAAGAGGCTAAACATGGCAAACCACAACCTTCCATCCATCAGTCAACGACCTTTCTTGTAGCATCATACACAATGAGGTGTCGATGAGTTGCCACAATCCTGCCAAGAAATGATTCAACATGATTTTAAGTTAGATATCTGGGAGTCTAATGTGAGACTAATTGTTTACAGCAGAGCAAGCATCGCTCTAAATAAAAGAAGACTTTGTCCAAACATTAGTGAAAGTGACGAGAAATGTTTCTTAAACAGATGTGGACAGTTGCAGAAATGTGATTTTGTGTTGTTTTTTTTCCCCATCAGTATTACACTAAATGTCAGAATACAAGCCTGTAAAATTAAATCTTAAACTGGGTACAATGACAACAACAATTTTAATAACTTGTTTTATTTATTTGAAGTAAACAAAACTATCCCAAATGTCTGCTGTAATTCACAGTTTAGAAATGGGAACATCCGTCATTTCGCTATGTAATAACATACAGAATGTAGGCCTCAGGTAAGCAGCTGAATATAAAGAAGTGTTTCCTTAAAGAAAGACTATAGGGTCAGGATCACAAACATGTATTCCTGACTCTATAGGTTAAAATCACTATCTATACCCCATGCATCCCCTCGCCCCAATATAGTAAAATATTACCATAGGCCTGGGCACACCCTAATCCCTGCGGCACGCCTGTGAGTACTGCAGAAACGCGTGGGAACACCATTCCCGCTGTTCCTGCAGGCACTCTGCCACCCCCAAATGCCCTCCTCCTCCCCCATGTTCCCCCTGTCATGGGGGGGGCAAGAGGTGATGGACACCCCCCGTCGGGCGCCTATCTCAACATCACAAGCAGCGAGGGAGCTGTGTCCTCTCTGCTCCCTCGTGCCGTTTGCTGATGGCGGGAGCTACAGCAGACAACCCGCGCGGCGAGAGGAAGCAGCGAGGACACAGCTCCCTCGCCACTTGTTGTAAGGAGATAGGCGCCCGAAACACTGGACCCCAGGGACAAGTCCATGCCAGCTCTCCAGGTAGGGAGGCTGGGTGGACAATTTTGCATGAAATTCACAGTTTTAAAATTATTAGTTACAGGTACTCCTCACTTACTGACTGGGTTCCGTTCCTACAACCCGGTCGTAGAACAAATTGGTCAGTAAGTGAGAAGTTAAGGGATTCTCTGCTCTGGTGCGCTTCGGGCAAATGTTCCCGAACATAGACTAACGCAGCAGATCAGGGAATCTCTCTAATTCCCATGACGGCTCGCACTTACCACCCCACGAGGGAGCTGGTCATAAGTGCTGTCGTAAAACAGGTAGGTCGCAAAACGAGAACCACCTGTATATATAAATAATGGTGCATTTTAGAACAGTGCTTGCAAATCCAGATGCTGTGTAGCAACAGATTCCTTCAATTTCACCTCTGCCTCTTGAATTTTATTTTGTTTTCTTTATAAAACTGAAAACAAAAATGAGGCACATTTGTGACTTTTAATGCTCTTATTTGCAACTTCGTTTTGTAAATTTCTTTTTATTTGAGAAGTTTTGTGGTTATGGCAATGGTACAGCATAGGACTCGCATGTCTAGATTTCCTGAAAATTGAAAGACGCATGTCCGAATATGATAATGGTAGGTGTGTAAATTAGCTTAGCTTAGCTGGACATAGTAAACCTAGCAAAAGACACGCTGATCTCAAGTCATGGAATGGAAGAAAAATTTAAATTATATGCACAAATTCACTGCCAAAAACTTGGCTGTAGGTATCTGCTTTGGGGAGCATCAGCGCCCAGATCTAATCCTAGCCCAGGGACCTTGCACACCTAGCTAAAGACACCAAGACCTACGGGGAGTAGTGGTGGAGATAGGGATCTCCTAAGTGAGCTGAGCCAATGGGACCGGAGTCCATTTCCACACCTGCATGTGGTCCTTAAAAGCTCAGCCCAGTTAGAACATCCCCTTTCCCTGAAATGGCTTAAAGTCAAAAATGAGGGTGGCCCTGGAGCCTAAGCTATTATGGCCAGAATTGGGAGCCAGTGGCATAAATGGTCCCCAAATGATTGTACAAAAGGGAGGGTCAGCCCTTGTCCAGATCCCTCAGGAATGTATTTCTTCTGTCCTCTACTGATCCTGAAATGCCAGATATCAGAAAGGTCCACTTGAAACCTCTTCATTAAGACACTACGCCGAACACCCCTGCATATTATGTTAGCTCCTGCAGTGCAGAAACCAAGAAACTTCCTTCCTTCTGTTTAGACCCTCCCTTGCCTCGGATCAGGGGATTATCCTGGCTTATGACGTATGTTTCTCTGTGTATTCTCATTTCTCCTGGTTGGATCAAATGTCCCCTACCCCACATCTTCTATTAAAAATGTTCCCATTTCCAAGAATACTCCGTGAACTTTTAGCATAGAATCAGTGACCCAGGTATATGCGGCCATATCATATTCTCCCACCTGGGATTGTAAATTCTTATCCCATCATCAATGAATACATTGCTAGTATGGAACCCTGCTACATCTACACAAGCCTTCACCGCAATGGGACTATGATAACCAAGGCATTCAAACATAAAATTAAACAAAAACAAAGGAAAATGTGCACTCTAATATACAGTGAACATTTCATCAGCAGTGTAAAGGATACAGTCATTTAGGCTCCCTTCTCTCAAACAGTGTCTTTACTTAGAGTCCGCTGAAGCCGTAGCCGTGGTGGTTGCATGTTCAGCCCTGGATGTCTGATATTCCCTGAGTATAAGGCTAGTAGATCCAGCCACTGCATGTGGATCAGAGGCAGTTGAAGTTCTTATTAGAGCAGTGATGGCTAACCTTGACACCCTAAATTGTTTTTGGACATTTCCCATGATGCTTAGCTAGCTTTTAGACGCTAAAAGAGTGAGTCTAAGCACCATAGCCACATGTATTCATTATTGCACATGAAGGGTTTGTGTCCTCATCTCCCTGCACGCAGTTTTTGTTTGTTTTGGTTTTTTTAACCTCTTAAGGACCAAACTTCTGGAATAAAAGGGAATCATGACATGTCACACATGTCATGTGTCCTCACTATAACTCAGGTTATAAACTGTAATTTTTCCTTACTCCAAAGATTAAAGTGTTTACAAAAATGTGTGCATAAGTAAAGCACATTTTAGGTGGGATCAGTCCAAACTGTATAAAAAGATTTTTTTATTCTCAAAATCTGAAACTAAGACAAGCTTCCTCCAGTTTCTTTTTGTAGAATCAGTTTACCTAATCTTAAGAAAAAACAAATTCAGCCTGAGTTGACAAGGGAGTTTCACTTCAGTGGTTAGCTCTCTAAAGCAGAAATCCTCACTGTACCCATAAAGAATTGTGGATTGTAAACTAGGCAATGGTATAGATATGTGAGCATCACTCTTCTTGGTTTGATGACAGCTCACTTCAGATGCTGCACAGTATGGAAATTGGGAGCAAAAGCGGACACTTTTTTTTTTTAACTCCCTATTCAAAAAATGTCCGATCCAACCCGGAGTGTGCCTTTAAGCCTGTTTTTGTCACACCTCAATAGAGCACAAACATACAAACCAATCGTTTAAAGCAGGAATACCATGAGGCTTAACTATGATTTTAAATGAGGCCATGTCTTCCATTCAGTTTTCACCTTTTACTGGAAATGTATCATACATATGAAATATAGGAAAACTGCATGTAGAGTGCTGTTTACCCCCACAAATTAAAAGGTTTAAACCGTAAATAGATGTTAGTGTTCCTTTAAGTCAATATCAGTCCACTGCAATCAAACAGGTGCACCAAAAACATGTGCTTGACATATTCTCCAGAAGACATTACTGAAATCCCAGAGGCTAGATCAGCCCAGATCTCATTTGGAATGCAAGACCATCGTTTTGTGTAGCTTGCTGTAATAAAAAGGGAAAACAAGTGTTAAATAGTAACAGGAAGTGATGGTCAGCCATGCCGTTCAAACAGGTCAAATAACTATGCTGTTTATTATCATAACCCACTGCCTATCACACGTTAATGAATAACCCTGATTGTTATATTTTAATAAAAAGGGAAAATTGTTGTGAATTTCAAATTTAAACAAATAATTGAATTGACTTTAGAAAATGTTTTTACTTCAGCTATTTTAACCTACATTTTAAAAACCTGCTTGAATTCCCATCAATTATCACTTTAGTGGATAAGCCTGTATATTTAAATGAGTAAATATATTTTTTTCCCTCCAGCTTAAGGGCAGTGCACAACAAGAGGACTATGCACTATGTTTCGACAGGAAAAAGCAGGCTGCCCACTAGAAATGTAAAAGTTAAGCTCCTCATAATACTCCTTCCCACAGGTTATAAAACCCCCAAACTAACTTTAAAACCACAGTCTTCTACCTCCATTGCAGGATAGATAGGCATTCACATTTTTATGTTCTCCAGGGGCGAGGTGAGGCGCTTGAGGCCGAGGTGAGGCGCTTGAGGCCGAGGAGGATTCCTCTCTTACAGAGAAGAACTGCTCTGGGTGGGCCTGTTTCTTCCCTCCTCTTTTCTTCAGCGTGGGAATGCATGTCGGGTACCTGCGTTCCACTCCTTTATAAGTTCCGCCTACATCCATGCTAGAAATGGCTATGGTGCATTGCACAAACATGTTGGGATGCTCTGGCAGCGAAACGCACGCACAAGTTTCAATGCGCTCTAATGGGAGACTGTAGTGCCCGATGGGTAAAGTGATCTCAAAATTAAATTTTTCCAAAGCTTTGGAGGTTGTTTATTCCCAGTTGCAACTACCTGTTTGCTGTGTGCTCGCAGTAGCCCTCCGGCACACCAAGAGGCCATTTGAGTTAGACACTTTGCTTTTACCTTTATGATCTATTTGCCTTTTATTCCCTTAGTATGGCTAATCTTGAGACTTCAGATAAAGATTAATGTATGTCAAAATCAAAGCATTTGATGTGTTCTTTGTGGTACCAGCCAATGCCATACAGATACAAAAGAAATTGAAGCATCTGTTCCAGAGAAGCATCTGAGTAAGCTTAAAAGACGAAATATCATTTTTATCATGGTTCAAGAACAATTTGCAGCAGACCATTTTGGACATTAGGGCTGCTACCATTCAATAAGCGCAGTCAGCTCTGCTTCCTGAGCCGGTATTTAAAATTCCTAATAAAGCAAGAAAAGGAAGCACTGGAAAGTTAGATTCTAGTTCAGAAGCCGCCTCTTTTTGTTCATCTTCAGTAAACTCGGCACTCTCAGATGAAAAAATATTGTCTAAATGAGAGTCTGCTTAGACTTATCGGAGTACAACTTCTTATGGAAGATAAGGATTTGACAAAAGATCAAGAATCTTTCAAGCACAAAAAGATTCCAGTGGGCTGCAGGATGCAATTGACAAAAGCAGAATCAACTTTACATAATTATTCTCCACATTTGTTGTTCAACGTAAGCAAGAATATCTGTAGAGAAGACATTTTTTGTCTAGACTCCCTAGAAAAATCTATATGGGAGAATCCAAAGAAGATCTCGTAAGGCTTCTAGATACTCATTCGAATGGCTTCAGATTTCCTTTTTGATTCTTCTATTAGCCAAATCTAGCACGTCCAAGCAGTCTGGCTCACAAATTGGTTGTGTGACTTACGTTTTGAACAGGGAATACTGTTTGCATCTCAACTGGACAATCTTTTAAAGCAGATGTCTGAGGTAATAAAGGCCTTACCGGAAGATTAAAAAAAAGTGAAATAAAGCATTCTTCCATGGAAACAAGTATTAATATAGAGATTTGTTTCACAGGCCTCAGACAAGAAGAAATTGGAGACAACCAAGTGAACACAAATAAGGAAAAAAGGAAATTTCGATGGTAAAACTAAAGATCACTGGTTTTGACACAAAAGCAGAAGGAAGACTTCGTGCTTTCATTTTCCAGGGGAAGAAACTAACCAGAGACAATTCGGTCCTCGCTATTATAAGAAATGGGTACCATCTTACTCCAAGACATTTTTTATGTTTTTAAGTTCTGCAAACAGAGTTGAAGCAACGTTGGGTGAATAATTATCAGGAACCTACTCATGGCCGTTTCTAGTTCATAAGCCAGTTGGATCGTTCAGAACCATTCTAGATCTGAAGAAGTCATTCAATCCAAAACAGCTTATCAAAAACATTGAAACAGCCTCTGTTGGCCTAAGATCACATATCTGGATTTTAAATCAAGAGAAATTGGAATTGGTTCCCACCAGATGGATTCCATTATTGAGTTTCATCTAAACTCCGCTCAAAGAAAAGATTTTCTTCCAGAAGAAAACATAACTAATATCTTCAAGTTCATTATGGTTCTTCAAATTAAATTTCTGTTCTGTAAGAGAAGCAATGAGGTTGCTGTGCCTCTTTACCACTTAAATTCCAGTCTGGACCAAGGCATAGATGATGTGGCGACAAAGAAATATTCTGGCAGAATGGGGCCACTTAAACTCTTCGCTGGACCTCTTGCTGAAAATTTGGTCATCCATAATAAAGAGTTTGTATTAGTGGTAGATTTCTCACAGACAGTCTTTTAATCAGATTGTAAAATTCTTTATATTCACCACGGAAGCCTAATCTTTCAGTTAAGGGATAATACCCAACAAGGGTCTATGAACTGTCCAGGATTGGCGGAAGTCATCTTATTCCCCAGAACTCAAGACAACCTGGTGGGTTCCCCTATGTTCAGGAAAGACCTACAGGGACTTCTCATCCATAGTCTATTGACAACGCAACCAGCCACATATCTAGCCAGGCAAGGAGTGACTCATTCTCTCTTTCTGCAAGGGTATGTTCCAGTGTGATGCTCTTGTCAGAAGTCACCTTCTCTCTCTTTATCTGCAGTTCTATCTAAGGATGAACCAATATTTTTTTGCAGATGTTCTGAACGAGACTCATTTGAAGCAAAAAGGTTTGTCTCTCCCATCAAACTTTTCAAAGGAATAGTATTGAGATTCAGAACTCCAGGATTAGACCTGATATCTTTAAAAATATACAGGAATATCCATATATGTCTCTATCAATCAAATCAGAAAATCCAGACTATGTGGTTGCCCTAACAATTCCCTAGGATTGTTCATCTGGCCTACATTTTCTCTCCAGTTATTTTGCAGTAAATTATTTAGGAAATAAAAGAGCAAGAATTATTCTGATTCTTAACTTCTAGTCTCAGAGCAGCTAGTTCTCAATTTTCATAAACCTCTCAAAAAGGAAACTTCTGGCATCTGCCGCTTACTAGCCGTCTTGGATCGCAACCTAGTTCCTCTGCTGACTCATAGGACGTAATAACTTACTTTAAATTTCTTTTTCATTAAGATTAGAGGCAGTGCACATTTCTTTGCAGTTACGTGGATTGTGCATTTTCTGGGGTTTCTGAGTTGGTTTGGGGGTTTTATACTTTGTGGGAAGGAGTATAAGTTGGAGCTTAAATTTTACATTTCTAGTGTGCAGCCTGCCTTTTCCTGTTAAGACATGGTGGATATCTCTGTTGCTGTGCACTGCCTCTAATCCTAAGTAAAAAGACATTTACAGTAAGTGTAAAAAAAAAAAAAATTATTTTGTTTAAATTCTAATTCCTCAATCTGTTTTGATTTAAGGTTAAAATAACTCAAATTTACCTCTGATCTGTAGCTAAAACAGACTATAAATTACTTTCCGACCCACCCTTGCTAAGTTCATCAAGATGGATGAACTTTGTCCAATCCCATGCTTCTCACAGAGAAACACTGAGGGTACACGGCAGTTGCTGTAAGCCACCAATCCCATGCTTCTCACAGACTCACACCCAGCATCAGCATACTTAGCATGCTGAAATCAGACATAAAATACATTTCATTACTGAATCTATTTTAATCTGAAGACCCATCTGAATGACAGCCACTACACTATTGGGCACTGCAAAATAAAAACTCTGCAGTTTAAGTGCAAGGCTGTAGGGGCAACATCTATGCCCAAAACCATTTCAATAATAATTTTTTAAAAAGTAGTAATGTTTAGTACTTATTCTATCCCTTTAAGCTATGCCCATGCTCCCTTACATTATTTTTCTTCGTTACTGTACAATATACTAGGCACAAAATTCGTGTGTGTGTATATATATATATATATATATATATATTAAATTAGACAGGAGTTAAGATAAAGTATAAGCATTTCATATTTAAAAAAATATATATCGCCAGTCAGAATCCTCATATGTATTTATAGGATGATGACCCTTAAAGGAGCACTAAAGGGTTGGGAACACAAACATGTATTCGTGACCCTATAGTGTTAACACCATCTAGACCCCTTGCCGCCCTAAATATAGTAACATCTTACTTTTATTCAAGACTGCTGCTGCTGGCTCTGCCTCTGATCTGCCTGCTTGGCTGACATCATCAGAAGTGTTGAACTGAGCCAATCACAATGCTTTCACATAGGAAAGCATTGGATCAGCTGAGCTTTTCAAGGAGGCAGATCAGGGGCAGAGCCAGCACAAGGCAAACACAGCCCTGGTCAATAAGCATTTGCTCATAGAGATGCATTGAATCAATGCATCTCTACTGAGGAAAGTTCAGTATCTCCATGCAGAGGGTGGAGACACTGTTCAGCACTGCCCCAGGAAGCACCTCTAGCAGCCATCTGAGGAGTGGCCAGTGGAGTTATCACTAGGCTGTAAAGTAAAACACTGCATTTTCTCTGAAAAGACAAAGTTTACCACAAAAAGCCCGAAGGCAATGATTCTACTCACAAGAACAAATTCAATAAGCTGTAGTTGTTCTGGTGACTATAGTGTCCCTATAAGTGTTGAAATAGAATGTGCATACATACACACAGTACTATGCAAACTTAGGCTGGTGTGAAAAAGAATTGTGAAGTAAGAATGCTTTCAAAGACAAATGTTATTAAATGTTTAATTTTATCAAGTAACAAAATGCAGTGACGGTGGAGCTGCAAGCAATCTGCCTTGTCGGGACATAGCAATGTCCAAAAAGCCCTATATTTTTGTACTTGTAAACCAACTCATTAACGAGACAAGAAACAAAGTTGATAAATCATTCTTCACTCCTTATAGAGTTAGGTGATTCCCACTCACCCCAGATCTTCTGATCAAAGGGCATTTTGTTGTTCATTTTCATCAAAACACAGTGTCCCTTCCCAGACAAATCAATGTAATAAAAATAGTGGCTTTGTAAGGCTATTTTATTTTTTTATTAATCAAATGGCAATCTTTGGTCTAGGAAAAAATACTAAAATTGACCCAGTTAGATTTTCTTAAACCTACCTTATTGATCTCCTTGTGTCTGTCTTTGCTCACAATCTCTTCAAGAACTTCACCGTCCCCTTTAATCAGTCTTGAAATTATACAAAACATTAGGAAGTGGAAAAACAAGGGTACATAGTTTAGATCAGGACAGAAATCAAACCACTTTAACCCCTTAAGGACACATGACATGTGCGACATGTCATAATTCCCTTTTATTCCAGAAGTTTGGTCCTTAAGGGGTTAAAACATTATTAATTTGATAATTCCTATATTTTCTTCCCATAAATCAGTTAAAAAATATTCCTTACAGATTAAGATTTTCATGTAAACAAGATTGTAAGTTCAGTTAGTAATTTCACCTGACTTAGACAATTACAATTTTAATGATCAATAGCATGTCATAATGTATATCTCTCTTGTAGATCTCATGGGGTTTTTGGGATATGCAGGAACTGAATCCAGTGAAATGAAAGCTTTCTGAGATTGATGTGGAAATCATATCTCGGAGAAATGAGCAGAGGAAAGAATTTAATGAGGCCTTGTGTATCTCCCTCATGGCCAACTGCCCTTTAAATGAGAATGTGCCACAAGCATGCTGTGCTCTGTTCTATTTTAAGGTTGTTCTTGTCCTACAACATTTTCCTCTGTCTGACATTTTCCATTCAGCTTTTAAAAGTGGGTCATTTCCTGTGAGGGAAATTTCCAAATTATTTGTCAAAAATATGGAACCTGCATTATAGTTAAAACAGAAACATTAAATGGGATGTCCAGCTTTTAAAGGCGAATACAAGAAATGTGTACATGAACATACACTAAAAATGCAAACAGACTGGGGATCTCTATCTCACACTAATAGAAATTTTCAGAGCAGGTGTTAAAAACTGTGTGGGTCAAAACTGTGTTTTCTTGGGAAAACCTGCACAAAAATAAAACAAACACTACTGCATTTTGAACATATAACTCCCAATGAATAAAATATACCGTTCTACAGATCTTACAGACTAGATTAAAAGTGACCTTATCAAATGTGGGTTATGAATTGTGCATGCTGGTGCAAACCGGATATCACGTGTGCAAGGTAACAGTACAATGATATACAATTAGATTCCTTGCACTAGATACCAATACTGAAGTAGTACTCAGTCAAATGCCACCATTACAGGGCAGTGAGAATGTACCTCGTTCTCCCAGTCTCTGGGTCAAGGACTTTCCTGATAACGCTTTGACGTGCATCCCACTCTTCCTTAGTCATAGGCCTCATTGCTTGAATCCGAGTCTTTTGGAGATCAGTCAAAGCTGGAAACAATGGAACACAGTGATTAGATCAGAGTTAGGGTTGTTAAAAAAAATAAAAAACATAATTCAAAATTATATTTGCTGGCTGTTTCATATTGTGAGTAAATTTTGTGCCTGCATTAATAGGAATCCTCAGGTTTGTGCAGAACAGTCTTCTATAGCTTAGTCACTTAAAATCAGATCTATGAACTAGTTTACCAAAACTCCTGACAATATTCGACTTCATTCTATACCATCAGATGCAAAGCATTAACGTCATTAGCATGCTACAGCTCACCTGGACCAGAGTCTTTCACAGACACCTCTTGGCATAAATCTGGAGATGGACCAGGAAGATATTCCTGGGTTTTGATTTTGGGTTCTTTTTTCTTTAGCTTGGAAGAAGAACTTTTCTTTACTTTCTTATTCTTCTTTTTCCCCTTTTTCCCTTTCCTGTGCTTTAATTTCTTCTTTTGACGCTGATTTTGTTTAGCTTTTGAGTCACTGTCACTTGAGTCATTTGAGGAGGAATTTGATGATGACGAAGACGATGATGTAGAGCTCCCAGATGATGAAGACGACGTGCTTGCCCTCCTCTTTCTTCCTTTCTTTTTTTGCCTGTCTGAAATAAGAGCAGAAGACGCAACCAATGTCTCAAAATACAGACATGAGTGGTTAGGTGTCCAACAGAGAATGAGCGCCCGCTAGTGGTTGCATGCAAAGTGCAAATTCTCAGTAATTCTGCTATGGAATTAGAAGACTAGGAATTTACTGTGAGACTGCAGACACTTCCTGGATGACATGACCTGTGTTAAATGCAGGTGAATTTGTTTGGGACACCTGCTATAAAGGGATATTTAGGGATACCTTTGTACATGCATTGTAAATAAAATGCATTAACAAAATAAAGATGGTTAAATGCAATTGCTTCTTCCTTAAATCTCTCTCCAACAATATTATGTCTATAGAATGTTTTTATTGACCTATTGGTATGTTGCAAAAGAAAAGTTTTCAACTAGAGAGAGAGAGGGGATTTTGCAATAATCCACTTTCTGGATTTCCTGGTTAAAATTTTTTTTACTAAATTTACCGTATATATATCCATCTATCTTAGGGTAATTCAACCAAATATGATTACGAAAAGAAATCAATTGTGCACTAAGAATATGTTCAGATAATATTTTTGAAAATTTTTTATAGTAGTTATATTCTAAATGAAAACATACATTTAATTATTCATTTTTTCATTGGGGGGTATATCGATAGCTTACAAAAGCCCCCCTTTTCTTTGTTGTTGGTGAAACGTTTCCACAAGTGCACTGCCCTACCTCTGCCAAATATGGATGTTTGGCAACTCAAGCACAAGGGCCCAGTTTCAATACAAATATTTAACAAAAATTTTATTTAAAAAAAATAATTAAAATAGAAACAAAAATATTAAATTGAACCAGGCTGAAGACCTGCAAAGGCTATTGAAAAACCTTGAGTGATTTTAGTACCATTTCATTGCTAGCCCCAATTCCCAAGAAAATTTGTTTTCCTCTCCGTATTACAAGAATCACAAAAACATGTCAATTCTATATTTTCCATTAACTCCTTTTAATGATCCCCTTATGTAATTAAAAATTAATCATTTAACATACAAGAGGCAGAGTTCTATATGGGAAACAAATATAGGGTGAAAGGGTCCATAAAATGTACCCATGGGCGGAAGTCACTGGCCTGGTTGGAGCTGATCATGATTACACTCACCTTTTTTTCGGCACTCTGGGGACTGTGAGTGATATTTGGCTAATGATGTCGGTTTCCGAACAGGTGAAGGACTGCTGCTGCTGTTTCTACATCTGGACCTCGATTTCTTTTTCTTCACAGATTTCCTTTCTGTAATACTAGAGCTTCTGCTCCGTGATCTCTTTGTTTGATTACCATCCATCATAGTTTCTTTAACAGAAAGCCTTTGTTTAAGAACAGGCAGCAACAGTTCATTGATTCTAAAACGACTATGATTTTAGAATATAAGACACTTTGTTGAAAAGGAAAAAAACAAAACAGGAGGGGATAATCAGCCTTTTGTCTGCCTCTAATAAATAAAGAAAACATACTAATATAATGCCTACGGCAAGTAAACATTTAGGCTTGGTGACTAGTGTGTGACATGGACTTTCCAGGCTTGTAGTGGGAAGTACAGGTGATACTCGAAAAATTAGAATATTGTGCAAAAGTTAATTTATTTCAGTAATGCAACATAAAAGGGGAAACTAATATATGAGATAGACGCATTACATGCAAAGCAAGATAGTTCAAGCCGTGATTTGTCATAAGTGCGATGATTATGGCTTACAGCTCATGAAAACCCCAAATCCACACTCTCCATAAATTAGAATATTGTGAATAGGTGCAATATTCTAGGCTCACAGTGTCCCAACTCTAATCAGCTAAGTAAGCCATAGCACCTGCAAAGGGTTCCTAAGCCTTTAAATGGTCTCTCAGTCTGGTTTAGTAGGAATCACAATCATGGGGAAGACTGCTGACCTGACAGTTGTGCAGAAAACCAATCATTGACACCCTCCATAAGGAGGGAAAGCCTCAAAAGGTAATTGCGAAGGAAGTTGGATGTTCCCAAAGTGCTGTATCAAAGCACATTAATAGAAAGTTATGTGAAAGGGAAAAGTGTGGAAGAAAAAGGTGCACAAGCAGCAAGGATGACCGCAGCCTGGAGAGGATTGTCAGGAAAAGGCCATTCAAAATGTGTTGGGGACTTTCACAAGGAGTGAACTGAGGCTGGAGTCAGTGCATCAAGAGCCACCACACACAGACGGATCCTGGACATGGGCTTCAGATGTCGTATTCCTCTTGTCAAGCCGCTCCTGAACAACAAACAACGTCAGAAGCATCTTACCTGGGCTAAAGAAAAACAGACCTGGTCTGTTGCTCAGTGGTCCAAAGTCCTCTTGTCTGATGAGAGCAACTTTTGCATCTCATTTGGAAACCAAGGACCCAGAGTCTGGAGGAAGAATGGAGAGGCACACACTGCAAGATGCTTGAAGTCCAGTATGAAGTTTTCACAGTCTGTGTTGATTTGGGGAGCCATGTCATCTGCTGGTGTTGGTCCACTGTGATTCATTAAGTCCAGGGTCAATGCAGCTGTCTACCAGGAGATCTTGGAGCACTTCATGCTTCCTTCCGCAGACGAGCTTTATGGGAATGCGGACCTCATTTTCCAGCAAGACTTGGCACCTGCCCACATTGCCAAAAGCACCAAAGCCTGGTTCAATGACCATGGGATTACTGTGCTTGATTGGCCAGCAAACTCGCCTGACCTGAACCCCATAGAGAATCTATGGGGCATTGCCAAGAGAAAGATTAGACCGAACAATGCAGAAGAGCTGAAGGCCGCTATTGAAGCATCCTGGTCTTCCATAACACCTCAGCAGTGCCACAGGCGGATAGCTTCCATGCCACGCCGCATTGAGGCAGTAATTGCTGCAAAAGGGGCCCAAACCAAGTACATCAGTTCATATGCATGCTTATACTTTTCAGAGGTCCGATATTGTTCTATGTACACTCCTTGTTTTATTGATTGCATGTAATATTCTAATTTACTGAGATTGTGGATTTGGGGTTTTCATAAACTGTAAGCCATTATCATCGCACTTATGACAAATCACAGCTTCTATCTCATATATTCGTTTCCCCTTTTACGTTGCGCTACTGAAATAAATTAACTTTTGCACGATATTCTAATTATGTATCACCTGTAACTTATAAAGCCTGGTCACTAAATTATTGATAGACATACAATCTAGATGAAACGTGATGGGTTGATATACAAAAAGAAAGGTATTCTTATTTCCTAACAGATTTCAAGGCAATACAAATAGCCCAGGTAAACATCAAGTGAAATGCAGTTTTATTAGCAGCACCAAGCAGGAGAGCAAGGTGAGCACTGGTGACTCCACCACAAGACTGCACAGACAGCCCTCTGCCAACTACAAATAAGGAACACAATGTTGTACTAGCCTTTTCCTCCAATACTGACAGAGTTGAGTAGCAGGTAGTAGAAGGGGGAGAATGACTCAACTGCAAGACTAGTTTGTTGCCAGTATGTACGTGTGTACATGCATGGGGAGTTTTATACAGCAACATATTCTAAATGCATTCATAGAAACTACACAAATATCCATGCGTTTAACCACTAGGACACTATACACAAATATACCACTGCTTTCTCACACACAAAGGTTATTTAAGGGATTTTTTCGCCAGCAAGAGAGCGTTTCAGCAGCACTCTGAAGATGGGCAGTCCAAATTAGCTGTCCTTCATTCTAGCATGCATGTTCACTCACATGCCCCTTTCACAACCACAAGCATCATCTGAGAGGCAGACCATGCAACTGGCAAGTACCACCACGAGGAAAAAAATGTTTTTTTAAAAAGTACAAAAACTACAGTTGCCAGATCTATATAACACTTCTATATGCTGATGGGCAGAATATGTAACTTCTTGTTCTGTAATCATTTAATCAAAGAGTAATTCCAAATGTACATACCTTCATGAAACTTTATAGTTACATTGACATTCCAAGCATCATAATTTATGGTCACTGCACACAGTTGATAATACCAAAAGTCTGCTATTACCCTGCTTATTCTTTGGAAGGATCAGAGAGGAGTATATACTGTACATCTTCCTCTGCCTGTGCAAACTTTGAGAGGGCCACAGCTGTGCATGTGTGTGGTTGGTAGATCAGTAGAAAGTTGTCCCAATAGACTAAAACCAGTTGCATTATGACTGCTACAAGCTTATTTTGCATTTTCTCTCATATTATCTGATAAGTGGAACTGATGATGCTGATATCTACATATTCTATAAAATCTCTGCTGGGCAGAGGTTTATATGGTAAGATCAAGACCTGAAAGTGAGGTCTTTATCGGCAGAACCTCACCCGTGTTTGTTTGCCTGTGCAAATGCTGAAGCTGCGGGAAAGAATTGTATCTTCTTTTCTCCACATTTTAATACATTATTAATATTATGCATAACACAAGTGAGTCAATTCCAGCTTGGTGTGTCCATTCACTGCAACATGAAACTGCATGGCACTACATGGCAGCAACTTCCTTTAGCATTAACAAAATGAAGCGTGATGTGGACATTGCAGATATTGCTACCCTACACCCAACTGATCAAATGGGGCGGGGGCACAGGCTTTCAAAATTAGTCTTTGAAAGGAATCAATAGCACATGCTTCATAAAATCCTTACCTTCTATTGGTATTTCTACTCTTAGTTAATTAAGAATCCAACTTTTAGAGGTAGCTCTTGTCTACAACGGAATATTGATGTGTGTTTATAAAACAAAGTCATTGTTATTATTGGCATCGGTATTGGTATTACACAGCACTCTACAATATTGTGAAAAGGGTGAGATTTAACAATAAACAAAAATTACAAAATGATACAGGCACAACAGAGCTCAAGCAAGCTTACAGTCTAGAGGAGGTGGGATATAAAATCTCAACAGGGCAGCAAGAGGGAAAGTAACCAAATAAGGTGGGAAATTAGCAGAACTGGAGGTGCATGGAGTGTGGCTCTTTAGGAGAGCAAGAGACAGATAAGTGACAGAGTTACTCTGGGAGGCCATAAGCATTTCTGAACAGAAGTGTATTGAGGGACTTCTTAAATAATTGAAGACTAGGGATGCGTGATGGGGTAGGCAGGCTGTTCCAAAGCCAAGGAGTCGCCCATGAAAAGTTCTGCAATGGCGAGTTAGCAATAAGGGTGAATGTCACTGGCAGAGCGGAGAAGGGGCATCCCTGCAAATCAGTCAGAAATGTAACAGAAGCTACAGTTGTTATATATGGATTTTCACAATTCCATTGTGTGTCAAATCATACACAGCCGCCTAAACAGTCTTTTTCAGCTCATATTTGCATATCATTCTCTAGATGTACCATGTTCAGCCAGTCATGTCAAACATATGGCAGACTGGGTGCTGCTGTTTATATTTCCTATGATGCTTAATGTGACAGGCATGGTGCACTTTCATTTCTATAAACCTCGCAAGACACCGCCTATTTATCAAGGTGTCGGTCCCAAACTGACCGTATGTCATATTGTCCACAAAGGCTCCAAACACTTTGGAGAATGTGCAACATACAAAAGCTCCCTCCATTAACCTGGCCGGATATGCTTAGAGGAACTAGAATGTCAGATGATCGGTACTCGTCAGTCCGCCACTAATTCAAAGGGTGGCTCGCGGCTATATTAACAACGATTTACCTGCGGTATATCAGAATTCCGATAACACCAAAGTGTTCTGTCCATTTATTAACATTCCATTCCACAACTTCCGGCTTAGTGTGCAACCGCATTCTGTGACCCCTGGGAACAACTACTATACAGCATGGTTCCTAGAGGCCGTCACTGAGCGCTTCCACCTCCAGCATCTTAGTGGCTGTTAGCTAATTCGATAGAATTTCTGATGTTTGGCAAATTGTTTATCTATAACGGGTGAAATATATTCAGTCTGCATATCAAAAATCTTTCTATTGATATATTTATTTAAGCCAGAGTATATCATGATCATGTGAAAAAAGTTAATAACTAATTTAAATGGAAATATAGTGAAGTAGTCTATGTAGAGAACACTTACACTAATAGCACAATATCAGTTTACAAGGCAGGTTAAGGACCATAACCACTACAACTCAAGTGATCATGGTACCTGTCGCCAATAAGAATCAAAATACAGAAAGATAAGTCCTGCGCTCGCTCCAATCACTCCTGGGTGGCAGCAATGACCACAGTACACATCAGCCTCAATATATAGTAAAAACCAAAGAAAAACAAGTTACCTGCGCTCTCTCCTTAATCCCTATGTATATTTAAACAAATGGAGGTCATTTAGTTACTCCAATGGCCATTGGACGGAATGCCCGCTTGCCAACGTCAAGAGCACAGGTAACTTGTTTTAATTTTGTTTTTACTATATGTATTGGAGCTGATGTGTACTGTAGTCATTGCTGCTGCCAAGGAGTGATGGGAGTGAGCGCAGGACTTATCTTTCTGTATTTGTATTCACTTTTAGGTTACAATGCTGCCGCCCATCCCATGTGTTCCCTATTAAGGGTTAATAAGTATATAGGGGTGTATATAAAAATACCCCTCTCTGTCTCATTAGAGATATTTTTGCCACAAGCTCAAGGAAGCAAAGTGAAGGGTCAGTGTAGGACCTGCTTAAGGGGGGTCTGCCTTGATGTTGGCAGGCGGGCATTCCCTCCAATGGCCATTGGAGTAACTATATGACTCCCATTTGTTTAAATATACATAGGGTTTAAGGAGAGAGCTCAGGGTAACTTGTTTTTCTTTGGTTTTTACTAAGAATCAAAATACTTTTGAATGGTTTGACACTTAAAGGGACTCTATAGGCACCCAGACCACTTTATATCATTAAAGTGGTTTGGGTGCAAGGTCCCTGTCCCCTTAACCCTGCATTGTTAATTATTGCAGTTTCTGAGAAACTGTAATAATTATATTGAAGGGTTAAGAATGCCTCTGCAGCCACTAAAGGCACGTCTTGCTTGCTAGGCGACTTTTGGTCATCTGACGCTGGACATAGGAGGACATTCAGCATCAGTAAGATCCCTATAGGAAAGCATTGCAGTAATATGCCGAGCATGCGCAATAGATCAGAGCTGGAATCAGGTGAGTACAGTAAGGGTTTCTTAACTCTTATGGGAGAGGAGGGGTAGAGGGAGCTATAGTGCTAGGAATACATCTTTACATACATAGTATACCTTTTAAGGGGTGTGGAAAAAAGTTACTAGTATATATGGAAATATAGTTAAGTAGTCTATATGGAGAACACTGACACTAATGACACAATATAATAGTATAAAAGGCAGGATAAGCACCATAACCACTACAGCACACTGCAGTGGTTTTAGTACCAGAAGTCCCCTGAAGCTGTCACCCAGATAAGAATCAAAATACTTTTTAAAGGTTTGACACTTAAAGGGGCCCACACCCTTTTCTGTCCACCCCTCTTTAAATACAGCTAAACGTTAGTGATATCAATTTTGCCATTGTTTCGATGGAATTTTTTAGATGAAACTGTTAACTGACACTCAGGCAATGAATTGTGTTCAAATAGAGAAATTTATATAACTTGTGCCGAAGCAGTAGCCTTTGCTTTAGCTGTATCTGAAGAGGTGGTAGGACTGGACGTTTGCTGGGGAATGCAGGTATGTGTCAAACCTTTCAAAAACTTTTTGACACTTACCTGAGGGACAGCAACAGAGGGACACTCCTGGCACAGCTGGATTGAAGCCCACAGACAGTTCTCTACACTTTTTGTATCAGAATGTCTAATTATATATCCGTATGTTGGAAGCACACTCATTTTTACTTGGTTTGTAAACCTCTCTGGATAAGGGCACTAAAAAAAGAACTGTAAAATAAATGTAAAAGCCTACAGAACAGTGTAGGCTATGATGCCTAGATTAAATTTATTATAATATTACTGTGACAGACCCCGTGGCACCCCGACAGGGTACCTCCGTCGCTGCTTCATAGTACTTGCGAGCACCATAAGCAATGTAGAGGTGAGGCTAATGAGACTAGGACTGGGCACAAAAATAGAGAGCTGGTAACTGGAACACCATAAACCCCATGAACCGCCGTAGCTTGGTTGGGGTCTCACCATCCTCCCCCCACCCTGGACCCAAGTCCAGGATCCAGCTTCCAGTGGGTAGACCTCTCCTAGCCCAGAGAGCGTAGCAGGAACAGCTCTTATAAGAGCTAGTGATTATACTCAGGGGAGTATTGTGATCAAGCAAGCCCCAGAGTGAATGTAGTTCTCCAATCCCCCAAACATGAGCCAAGACTTCATGAAGGGGTAAACGAATCTCTCTTTAATGGGAGCCACACTGGCCTCTCATGCTAGTCCCCAAGCAAGGTGTACGCCCACATGGACCTTGTTGGGGACAGGGACACACACTTACAAACCAATAATAACACATTTACAAGGTAAGGCACTCCCACACATAGCACACAATCCCTCCCCTCTTCTTGGGAGATAATTGGATTAGTAACTGTACTAATTCGAATCCAATTATCTCCAAGCACAGAAAAAACATACTTTTTTTAAAATACCCTAAAATTTTATAAAACCCCACAAAGCCCTGATCTGGGTGAACAATATATCCAAAAATCACCCAGATCAGTTCAGGGGTTCAGGAATTATCTGGAAGTCTTATTTTTGACCGACCGTGCACATGGTCCCATGCCCAAAACAGTTCCAGAGAATTAGTGCTAACGGTCAGTCTCTCTGTCTGGAGTACAAAAGTACATACTTCACATGAACAGAGCCTTTTTAAAGTATTTTAGCCAGGTCTATTGCAGGAGCCATAGTCACAGGGTAGGAGGCTGGCAAACAGGCCCCTCCAAAAACTCATGGCAAACTCACAGGAAAGGGGGAGTTTGTCACAATTACCAAAACATATAAAATGTGGCAATAGAGGCAACGTTCGTCACTCCAAATGTTGTGGACCACATCCCCCATAATGCTCTTACAACCATAATGCTGGCAAAGCATCATGGGAGGTGTAATCCAAAACATCTGGAGTGACAAATGTTGCCTATGCCTGTACTAGACTTAAATCATAAATACTAGAAATGCACAGAGTCCTTAAATTCTCTGCAAATAATAATGAATAATAAGATGAAGCAGTAGCATTGTTAATCCTGTAACATAAGTTGTGGTAAATATCATGGAACCACAATATCAGATCCAATAAACTGTAAGATCAAAGTCAGTCCGATCATGGAAGGGTGAATAATCGCATGATTATCGCTAGGCAAACAATATCTCCAAAGGGTTCCACGTAATATAGATAAAGGTGAGTTAAGAAATAATCAAATAATTGTCCAAAATATTACAGAGTGTGAGATCCAACTAGAGAGAACACTGTACATCCACAATCCGCTCGCACCAGCTCATTGGGCATACAGCACAAGCTATAACAATGTGACAGCATGTTGCTCATTAACAAACCTAGTAATTATGACAAGCTCTTAAAGATACACCCAAGGGTTGTAGTATGAGCTGGGTATTTACCAATTTAAAACAAATAGATAACGTTCTTCAGCAGCGCTCTTAGCATGATCCTGTATGAGTATCACTAGTGACATGACTCGCACATGATGAGAGAGCTGCTGAAGTGCCTTCAGGGCTTTCCCACCCTATCCCGATCTGTGGGAGCCACCTCTGGTTTTGGGTAGACTCTGGGTCCCATCCATTGGCTGTGTGTCAAAACATTTTTGAGCATCAGCTGACACACTCAGCCTATCACTATGTCCAAATATGAACAAAATGAATATTGAAAATGGGGTAAGACTTTGGGGTTAAACCATTCGTGGCAGTAAATACAAGACAGCTCCTGGAACCTTTTGGCACCACAACAACTTCATTTTGCAGAGGTTGTTATGGTCTCTGAAGTGTTCCTGTAAACAATGTTTCTATTTCTTTTCTTCATCAGCAATGTTTGCCCTGGCTTTGCCTTGCTTGAATTCAGTTATGGTGTAATTTGCTAAATCTTCAATATAAATGTAAAAGAAAATAGAGCATGTCATGTAATAAAAGGTTAACACGAGGTGATTTGCATTGTATTAATTAATGGAATAATTCCAGAGGAGTTATGGTTACTCTTTAATAGGCATGTTCCGCCCATCTCTCAAATTCACCAATAGATATGAATAAAGTCATTATTTTATCATATAATAATGGATCTTAATTTATTTACTTTTTTTTTTTTATTGTCAAAGTGTCATATTATATCATGAAGTGATACTATAAAATTATTGGCACGCACATGGAACAAATGTACATAATTCCTGTCCCATATAAGTACTACATCATAGCTTGACGTTTTATTGGACAACACATCACCAGCGTAACAGAAATTGTTTCCTCTATAATTGTATTCATAGTAGATGAGTTTCAGCTAAAACCTGTATTTCATTGCATAAAACCCATCAGTTAACTTATAATTAAAGATATGACACAAACACTTCATCGTGTTTATTGAAATTTTAAAAAGGAGGAGAGAGTGATATCCGAGCCATCCGGTACACAACAACAGAACAAGAACACCAGATACAAACATCTATCCTGATCTGACATCCTCGCCTTGCGATCACCCCTTGCTTCCATTGTTTTATAAATGAATCCAGTGATGCATTGATGTAAGCATTATCCCACAAGGGACAGTCATAGATGTTTTCTGCCTCTCTGCTCTTATAATTATAGACTATTATCAAAACCAAAGACTGTCAACATTCCCAAAGAGACACATTATCTCCCTCTCCTAGCTCATCAATAT